CCCTACTCTCAAGTGAAGTACTATGCTCCATGCAACTCATCAAGCATATCAGCTAGGCTTCCAAGAAACATTTGGAGTTTTTTTTGGTTTAGCTCTAGCCTGAGCAGGTAACAACACGCATTTTGCTCAATTTCTTAATTGTAACAATGAAGTAGTCCTCTTTTGGTACAACCTTCTGTATATCGTCCCACCTTCAGATTCAGCATGTATCTCTCTCTCAGTCCGTATCCCCATGGGATTGCTCAGCAGCCATCCATCGCTGTCACATGGTAGGCTCGAGTCAACCTCGTCGATGTGCTGCATCATGATGGACTCTGCATCGAACTGGTTTCTCATGTCGAGAGCCACGTCCAGTACGTCAGACTGCAGGAACACCTAGTGAGTCAACAGATCGACATTATGGTCAGAGGACATTGGAAACGGATGATTATACTGGACACCCGTCGTACTATGTATATAAAGTCTTCTACCTTTCCCCCGGGGACTAAACTATCAAGGATAGAAGCAACTAATGGCTGTTGCACAACTCTTCTCTTGTGATGCCTCTTCTTGAAATGAGGATCTGGACACTGCACATGTAAAGTTATAGATAAACCTTGGAATGTTGCCCCCAAAGAACAAGTATTCACGAAACTGATCGGGTAAGTGAGTTCGACACACGCGAGAGGTAATGCTTACCAAGATCGAAACTAGTGTCAATGGCCCAGGATAAGAGACAACCAAGTGTCTGAAAGACACAGCAGCATTTGCAAATATGAAATGACTGCCAAGAGTTAAACACTCACATTGATGAGCATATTAAGCACAAACGTAAATCCATAGTTGGATAGAAAGTTCTGCTTGAAAAGAGGCTTACGCATTAGTAAGAGCCAGATCTTTTACCCACGATTCAGCTCGCTTGACCAGCTGTCATTGGTGTAAGAACAAGTATTAGCCTAGCACGCAGCTGAATGAAAAGGAAATGCAACATTCAAGAAGAACTTGGAAATAATGTAAGAGCTTCATCCCATACTTTCTTCCGTATTTCCAAGCCCAAGTAGTTCCCAGAATCCGGGTTTCGTTTGGCAAGCCATACAAGGAATCTGCCACTCCCTGTATATCAATCAAATGGCAACTATCCCCATTACAAATGCCTTCTCCACAAGTGCATAATTGACTGAAACTAGCAGCTCAAAAGAAACTAGCAGATAAACATAACCATGACACTATATTTAGCAAGCATATAGAGAAATAGCTTACCACATCCAATGTCCACCATGAGTGGAAGTGTTGGATCCCTGAAAACTTCCTTCCAATCAGGCACTGGTGCCGGCGCCTTACCACATTTTTGGCCATTAACCCAACTTGACAACAATTAGTTCTACAGAAAGGGGGGGGAAAATGATAATCGCAAGCACAATTGGTTCAATTCAAACTAACTTACAGAGAAAGAGGAGCTCAAAGGGTTCACATGTTGCCTGATTCTAACATGACCCACCTCCTGCAAATCGAAGAAAGTTTCAATCTTTTCGCAGCTGCTTTTGAATTTGAACGAGGAGGGAAGCAAAAAAGGGAAGTATATGGTACCGCCGGGGGAAGGTTAAGGTCGGCGTACTCGAGAGAAACCAGGTCAGTGCTCATCGGTTGCTTGACTGCATCCAAGCAAGCGTTCGCTCTTACACTGAAACCGCGGGAATCGGCGGTGAATTTGGAGAAGGAACATAGTGATGGCGATTTTGTTATGGAATGCGATAGAGCTAGCTTGGCCGCTGCTGCCATGGGAGGAGAACTGGTAGCACCGCCGCCGCCGCGGCCGCTGGTTGCATTGTAGAAGTTGTGGGCTTCGCTGTGGACAAATTAGTTTGGAGAAATTTGGGCCTTCTTTTAGATTTTGGGAAATCTAAAAAGCCCAAATTAGCTAGGCTTTGAGGCAAATACCCAAAACTTCTTCTGGCCCGTATCTTCTACGAATTAGTTAAAGAGAGGAAAACTGTTTTGGTAAATTGCAAGGTTGGTCACTAGTATTGCTAAAAACGTTAGTGTTTGGTCACTATAAATATTTAATTCCATTCGTGGTCACTAACTTTATATTCCCGTTTCTTAAATGATCACTAATCGTCCATTTTCGTTAACTTCATCTTACGTGGCAGTCAACTCTGATAGTTGACCATTAAATGTGGGACGTGAGTGTGACAATTAAAAATGAATAAAAAATTTAATATTTTAAAATTACCAGCTCATTATCACAAACTAATTGATTTTGTTCCATGCCAGTGCCGCCACCACTACAACCACTGGGGCGCTGGTCACTCTTGCGGAGTGCGTCATAGAATCGTTGTCGACGGAGGTTTAAGATAAATAAGTAAGAGAAGGGAATGCGAAATAGAAATAATTAAGGGGAGATGGGAGGGGTGTAGTTCGAGCCTTTAGGAAAACAAGGGTTTCAATGAGTGTTTCATTAATCGTTCAAGAATGAATGGGTCTTCTAGTGGCTTGAAATCACACCTCCTTCAGGTCGCTGAATCTAGCGCTTTTTTTTTTCACTTTCTAAGTTGAAACAATTAAAGTTGATTGTCATGTAGGATGAAGTTAATGGAAATGAATGGAGAGTGGCCATTTATAAAACGAGAATATAAAATTAGTGAACTCGAATAGAATTAAGGGTAAATACAATTTATTAGCCAAACCTTTTCGTTTTAAACAAAATAATAGCCAAACCTTTTCAAAAACAATTTATTAGCCACACCGTTAACTTCCCATCTGGTCAGCCGTTTGTTGACTCTGACGTGGCAAGAAAATTACTGAGTCATATAATTTATTATTTTATTTTATTTATTCTCAACTAAATTAAAAAAATAAAATAAAATAAAAAAGAAAGAAAGAAACCCTTCCTCTACCCAGCCACCAAACCCCTCGACAACCTCTACATTTTCGTATTCAATCCCCCTCTTCCGCCTCTCGATGAAGCCACCCTCCTTAGTCTCCTCCGACATCATCTTCTTCTCCGGCGTCCACAAATCCGACTTCGTCGCACACAAGATGTTCCACCCTCGTCTCCCTCAGCATCCGCGCCTCCTCCCATAACCCCGTCGAGGTCCTGCACGGCAACATCAGGCCCTCTCCGCGGTGGATGGTTTTCGAATGGGGATTCTTCTCTAATCAATTTCTGGATCGTGGCCTTGCAGTGGCTGCGAGAGACGTGTGGGGTGGACTAAGAGGTAGGAACCAAGCAGCTGGTACTGAATTTGAAGCATAAATTCTAGCATTGATGTTGGAATTCGCTCAACTGAATGCAATTTCAGCACTCTGCTTCTTCTTCTCCTTATATGAGAGAGAGAGAGAGAGAGAGAGAGAGAGAGAGGTTTTATTGAGGTACGAAAGGGTGGGTTTGTTGATTTATGGAATTGAGTTGCTGAATAGTTGACTTAAGAGGCGATTGGAGAGAGGCAACATAACCGGCGCCCGGCGGGGTTGTCGCCATGAGTCGGAGGATGGCGGTGGCTGAGGTAGTTGAGGATGGCGGTGAGTTAGTCCTTAGATTTCAGACGGATTCGAAAGGGTAAGGGGGAATTTAATGGTGGTATTTTTTTATTACTTTATTTACTTTTAAACGAATTGTTGTTTTCGCCAAAAAGAAAAAAATAATTTAAATATTCATGTGGCAAGGTCAAAGTTTGAATTTTTGCCACATCAGCAAAAATCATTCATCTTGTTTAATTTTTTGCCACGTCAGAGGTCAACTAACGGTTGACCAGATGAAAAGTTGACGGTTTGGCTAATAAATTATTTTTAGAAAGTTTTGGCTATTATTTTGTTTGAAACGAAAGGTTTGGCTAATAAATTGTATTTACCCTAGAATTAAATATTTGTAGTGAAGTTTTTTTTTTTTAGAATTCACGCAATTTACCCAAAACTATTTTGTCCCATTCCACACGGAAAAGTTGCACGTCATTCCATAAAAAGAAATAATTCCACGTCCCAAAACCTGCTTGAAAAAGAAGCCAGCCGAGCTGTACAAACTCGGGAAACCTCCGCCTTCTCCTTTTCTCCTTAAACCCTCAACCCTCTCTTCGTCTCTGGCTCTACTCTTCCCCCTTCCCAATAAATATCCACAGCCAAGAAAACCCCTTTGATCTCTTCTTCGTCTTCAGGACGATGGACGATTCAGGCGATCAGAGGTTCTGTAAGTACCACCCGTACCAGAATTTCTACAGCGTCCCTTCGCAGAGCCTCTACAACCTCCCCACGTCGCCAGAATTCCTCTTCCAAGAAGAAGCCGCGCGCCAGCGGCGGAGCTGGAGCGAGAATCTCACCTACTACACCGGCGCGGGGTACCTCGGCGGTGCGATCGTCGGCGGCGCGAAGGGGACGCTCGATGGGATCAAGGCGGCCGAGGCCAGCGACAGCATGAAGGTGCGGGTGAACAGGGTTTTGAACTCCGGCGGGCACAGTGGTCGGCGGTTGGGCATCACCATAGGAGTTTTGGGTCTGATGTTTAGCGGGATCGAGAGCAGCTTGGTTGCGTTGAGGGATGAGGATGATTTGGTTAACACCGTGGTTGCTGGGCTTGGAACTGGGGCGATTTATCGAGCCGATAGAGGGCCCAGATCGGCGGCGATTGCTGGTGCTATTGGCGGTATCACCGCCGCTGCTGCTGTCGCCGGGAAGCATGTTGTTAAGAGATATCTTCTTGTGTAGTAAAAACATGTCATTCGATTCTTGGTAGAAATTGGATCTTTTGTTCTCTCTTGCAAAGATTTTATCTTTAATTGATTGACTCTTTTACCTTTTTAGGTCACCAAAACGCTTCTACGTAGAATCGTGATTTTCCTTTACAAATCTACGCTTTAAAACTTAAAACTTACGGTTTTACGCATCTAGGTCACCCAACCGCTTCTAAGTAGAATCGCGCTTTTGACTGCATTGATCTCTAGATTTCGAATTCAGCTATACATTGAATCTCAGATAGATTGACAAAATTTCATAACTTGGAAGCCGACGATTGGAAGAAATCTTTGTTTGTGGCCGCATCAATAGTCTGAAACAGCAAAGGATAGCTGCAAAAGGAAGGTGCAGGGCTATTTGCATTTGGAATTCACCATTTATTGTTTTCACAAGTTGTGACCAAAGTAAAACTCAGAACCCAAGTAAAAAAAATCTCCAGATTTTACCCTACTCGACAGCAAGAACCAGTAGCAGGATCCAATGGATTTACATCCATCCTGCAACACCCCAAAAAAAAAAAAAACCACAATCCCAGAAGAATCCCAATGATTATATATGTTCCCTCGCCACCAAACGGAGCCATCTTTAGCATTTATTCTCCTTCCACAAACAAAACCACCACATGAAAGACATTCATCTTTGAGGTGGATCTACAGTTCGGACATTGGCGCTCCCCATCCCCTCGATTCGATCTTTGGTGATCTCCACAAAATGACCCACTATCTCATGAAACTGCTTCAGCCCAGAGAGTGGAAGAATTATAGAGGACCTATCAGAACCAGCAACCTGCAAATTTTGTTACCATCAGCTCCAATGTCAATAGAATTAATTTGCAGTACTGCTCAAGCTAACTCACCTCAGAGATCCTCAAGAAATGGCCTCTGTTATTACTCCCGAGATCGAAGAAGAATCTCTTCTGATCAGCTCGGATAACCTTTGACACTCCCAGGTTGCCGATCTCATCCTGCGTTGGTAGGTCAACTGCCCGGTCTACATTTAGTTCAGAAGTTGGAGCAGCCTGCTGACTGCTGTGCCCGGATATAAAGCCAGCGCCTACATCATCAGAAAGTCCAACTAGGCGCTCTGAAGATTCAGAGTTTTGCTGCTTGTAATAACATACGCACAGGTATAAAACATGTGAGATTTGTCTATCTCTGACCCTTCTCCGGGTGTAGTTTGTAACAGTAAAGAGATTAAACAGTCACCTGATTGGGCAGCATGTAAAGCCTTGAAGCTTCATTAATATCTGCCAAGATGTTCCTAAAAGAAGCCCAACCTTCATCCCTAGAAGTTCCAGCAGGAACAATGATAGTACTGCGGTTTCTACTAACAGAAGCTTCAGAGACCTGCAGAAACACAGAGTGATAAACTACGATTCTAATTAACAATCCAAAAAATTTACTACAAACGTTCAGAGTTTAATCTTGTGGATAAACCAATACACTAACTTGTCCTCTTTTCACAGCCACGCTACTGATTGGCAGCTCACAAAACTAACATATTTTGCCAGTATTGAGAAACTAATTCAAACTTCCAAATTCGCCATACAGTAGGGGCAACACATATAATGCATATCCCAGTCTATAAATGTTCAACAGCCTAAAACAGGAAAAGCCACTAAATAAAACTGCCACATCCCTTTCCTTTTAAGTTTTTTTTTTCTGAATTAGACCTTCATAGCATACCAAGAAAGACTGGAAAAAATAGGAGTCCTTCCCAAAAGGAATTCTTTGAGAAAGAAAACTCTTTATGAGAAATGTAAACAAGAATGAGTACCAAGTTATACCTTGAGAAAACGCCCTCTTCTATTTTCCCCAATATCAAAATAAAACACCTGCAATATAATAGACAAAAGGCAGCACATTAGTAAGAGAATTCAGAAAGGGAACTCAAGAGCAAGAGAGAACGAGAGATGTAGTAATGTAAGTAGAATGGCGGAGAGTTGCCTTAGTGTCCAACTGTAATTCCTTGCTGAAGAGGTCATGCTCATCAGAATTGACATAGTAATTGAAGAGGTCCAAGAACCAGGAAATCCCAGAGGAAGGGACAATGATAGTAGACCTGGTGGACGATGTCTTCTCAGATATCTTCAAGTACCGGCCTCTTGGGTTCTCCTTTAGATCAAAATAAAACAGTTTGTGTTCAACTTGAAGAGTCTTGCACATGAGCTCAACATCATTCCCTCCTCCACCTACACCAGCAGCAGCTCCTGAGGCTGCTGCTGCCGCCGCCGCAGATGCTAACCCTCCTCCGCCAATACTGCTGCCTCCACCGCCAGAATTTCCCTCCATCTTAAAGAGGGCAAGAGAGAGAGCCGGTGGACTTGAAAATGTTCACAACTTGGATGTTTTCTTGTTTCAATAACCCTGTTGGGTGACTATATGTTGCAGCAATCTACTCTGAAGCCTACAGTGAGGAGATATCAATAGGGGAACTTGAATGCTCGTGCAGTCAACTGGAGCTAAGTGGTTACACCTTAGCAGTAGCAACAGAAAATGGGAGTGCGGATGTGAAACTAATTGATCAAAAACCAAATCAATCAATCAATATATAAACATAGGGAAAGTGGGAAACAGAACTTCCCTCTTCGTAATCAAACTCCAACTTGCAGCATTATTCACCCAACTAAAAGGCCTCACCCATTTAAAACAGCCTTCAATACCCAGTTCCCAAACAAACAACAACAATGAAATCACGCCAAATTCGGTTCTTGACAAATGGGACAGAAACAAGAACGACAAACAGAAAACAAAAAATTTATCCCCAACTACCTCTCCCAACACTAGTTCCTAGCTCATCGAGTCCCTCTGCTTCTTCCGATACAAATAGATAAGAGAATCAACGGAATCCCAGTTTTAGCTCAGGAAACTTGTGATCTGAAATCGCCGATTTCCATTCCCAACAAGCCAGCAAAAACACAACTCAAATCAGTCAGAGACAGCAACAATTCGCTAACTTGACCATATCCCACCAACGACATACAACGGAAGAGATAAACCCAGGTCAGGGAGGTAAAGCTTCACCTGTTTCTTATCCGGAAGCAGTGCCTGATTCAGAAGCGTTGAATTTCTGTGTTTCTATTAACGGAGAGAAGAAACAAAAGAGGAGATCAAATCGGTTCAGTTTGGAAAAGCAGACAAATTGAGATTTCAATCAGGAAATCAGATTCAATAATGAAATCAAATGGAATGGGGAATTTTTACCTGTTCGAGAGAGAGACTGAGAACGAGTAGTTGAACAAAGGAGAGGGGAGCGAAGGAAGGGAATGGGGGCAAAGGAAAGTGACGTGGAGGATGGAAACGGGTGTAAAACCGAACCCTCGATTAGACCGGATGGTTATGGTATTATCCTTGTTATAAGAACCGAACCGGATCAACGGCCGGGCCAGTAAAACCGTTAAACCAGTTACGATAGCGGTCTGGTTCATTGTTTGAACGGTTATTGATGGACCAAACGGTTTTTCACGGCTCAACATAAAATCAGATGAACCGACACGATTTAGCTGGTCCATTGGTTCACTATTTTAACAAAAAAATATTTTAACATAAACTAAGACCATCAAATCATAATTATTAATTTTATATATGTTTTCTCAACCTTATTGTCGATTTACATTGTCTACTACCAACTAGAACCGTAAATTTTAATTTGAATTAAAAAATGTGGCTTCTTTTGTGAGATGGTTGGAATGATTTATTAGATATTTTCGTGATGATATGAATTTGAACTTGTTTATGGTCAATGATAATTTCATTCTTAAATTAGTGTAATATACAAGTCTTATATGTTATATATCATTAACGGTTCTATCAACGGTTCACCAACGGTTTTGTAACGGTTAACCGGTGAACTCTTAAACCACTAACTTTTCCGGTTAAGCCTCCAGTCCGATTCTGAAAACAGAGGGTATTATTAATCAGAAAGCCAAGTTGTCGGCACATCAATCGTCATTGTCGTCTTCTTCTTCGGGGAGTTCTCTTCTACCCAAGGTTGTCAAACCGGTTTATGCCGGTGTGCCGGTTTTGTAAGTGGAATGGTATGACCGTGGTACAACCAGTATTCATGCCGGTTGTGCCGGTTTTAATAAAATACATGAGGAAAATGGAAATCTTCAATTCCAAATAAATTAGTCATCAAAAAGCAATTAGAAGAATTATTTCACACAAAATAATTTATAGCTAAGAATTGGTAACTAATACTAAACAATTAGATGCTTAAAAATAAAATTTTATTAATGTTTATAATGATTTGTGTAAAATTTAGTATTAGATATATAACATATAAGGTTAATATAGATAACAAAATTGTTTTGTAGCCTACTGCTGTATAAGTTAAACTAAAATGAACATGAGGTACTTGGTTCGAATCCTATGGAGGATTTTTATTTTTGGATATAATGTGTGTAACATTAAATTTCGGTTTCTGGTCTAACCGGCCGGAATTTTCGGATTTGATCGGATCTGACCGACATTGACCGGATTTGACCACAGTTAAATACCGGCCCCTTTTCAGCCAGTTTCTGACCGATACCGGTTGAACCCACTTGAACCAGCCTACATGAAACCGGTTTGACAACAATGCTTCTACCTTTCCTTTCTCCCTCGTCTGACGTCTCTCTTTCCCCTCCGTCCTGCTCTGCTGCTGTGCCTGTGCGCGCGCACCTGCCAGCCACTGATACAGCTCGAGCTGCGGATCCGCCGACTGATATGAGATATGAGCGAGACTGAGACCCCTTCATCAGAGGGTGTAGGAGTTGACTGACTCGTGTGAGCTCTACGCGTTTAAGTTTATAACCTCTCGAAGTTGTTTTTAGACCATCCATGGGTGGGAAGGAAAAGGGAGAAAAAAAAGGATGTTTTGGTCATAACGTAGGGTGGAAAATGTGGGTAATTACTAATTGGTTTAGCACTTTGTTGTTAAAAACTTAAAATCAATTTACAGTTAATTTTCTGACTTTACTTTTATATAATGATCATTATTTTTACGTAGTTAGTGATAATTAATTAGTACAGACATTTCGATATAATTTTTTTTAATTTAGACATAATTTTTTTCATCACTAATTAAATATAACGTCATTAATTCTGTTCGTTGCGAATAAAACCAATCAAAATACATCATAATAAAAAAAATCATTAAAAAAATAAATTAGAACAAAAAAAATTAAAAACAAATTATATGCGGGCCCGACAGTGAGTCCCTCCTCCCTCCCTTGCATCCACCATTTGTTTGCTAGTGGTGGGTATTCCCACTCAATTTTCCCCCTTTCTCCATCTTTTTCCACCCACATTGTGAGTTATTTTCTCACTTTCCCCCCTAAATCCACTACATTGTGGAGAGTCTTAGACCATCCACAATATGGGAGGGTGCGAAAGGTAGGAAAAGAGGGAAAATGGGAGGGTTTGGTCACAATGTGTGGGTGAGAAAAGAGGGTAATTGGTTGATCGCTTTTTTTTGGTAAAATCAATTTATAGTTAATTTCAACACTTTATTTTTATGTAATGATCATTATTTTTACCTAGTTAGTGATAATTAATGAATACGAACATTTTGATATTTTTTTTTAATTTGGACATAAATTTTTTTCATCACTAATTAACGTCATTAATGACGAAATCACAATAATTTATACAAGAAATTTGTTACATTGATAATTGAACATAAACATAATTAAGAAGAAATAAAAGCAAACAAATAAACACTAACCCTAAAAACAAACACTAAACCATTAAAATAATAACAAAATATAAAATAAAAGGCAAAACAAAAAACAAACTGACGTAGCCCCATCCCCACCCCTTCCACCCTTTTTTGTCTTCTACATGTGGGTATTCACACTCATTTTTCCCAACTTTTCCATCTTCTCCCCTTTTTTCACCTACGTTATGGGATACTTTCCCATTTTTTCTCCTAAACCCACCCACATTGTGGATGGTCTTAGGGTGCCAAGTGCCAACTACTAACTAACATCTAATTTGTTAGCATGATGATAGTGATTGAAAATCGTACAAGAATTCATATTAGATTAGTTTATGGTAGAATATTTTGTGGTTCAATCATTTATGTTTACACCTAAAAATTAGGATAAATATAATATATAGTCAATCTTTCATTTTAAACAATATAATTGCTAAACCTTTCGGAAAAAAAAATAATAGTCAAACCGTTAGCTTTTTATCCAGTTGATCGTCAGTTAGAGATGGCAAAAATATCCAAAAACGTGGATATCTGCCCGAATTTGGCCTAATCGGGTAGGGTAAAACTCGAACCCGAACGATTTTCAGTGGGTACGGGTAAAATTTGAAATCGAATATTGCGGGTAATGAGTGGGAATAATTTTCTTGATCAGAGATTTCTCTATGAAAAATACATTTTTTTACTATCCAACTCGAACCCGCCCGATTATAAATATTTATATGTACTTTTTCTAGAAATGATCATTATTTTCTCAGCATATTTTATATTTAGCATACATATATAATATTTTCATGAAATTGTGTTGTTTGAAATTAATTTCTTTCATTCTAGTGAATTATTGTCGTACTTTTTCACTTACATAATGTGAGTATACGTGTGAATATTAACATGTTGGTTGTAATTGTAAAGTCCAATTATTACCCATGGATAACAGTGGATACCCGAAACCTGAACGGGTATAAGATGGTCGACCTCTTTGGTGGTCTAACAGAATGAAAGGTCGACCCAAATACCTCATAGGCCGACCCTTGTGCACCTAATAGGTCGACCGCATTATAAAGAGGTCGACCGCCTTCACACCGTATCCGTATTGGATACAGATTCCAACACCAGAAAGGTTCCACAATTGGACAAGGAAACGATTTGGGTCGACCCATTCACGTCCTAAATCTCTATAAATACGAATATAAGTCCCCTTCAACACCACCAAGTCTGAATTAGGTTTTTTTTTCCGATTTAGAGCATTTGTGAAGAAGATCGTTCGCGGTTGCTGTTGTACGTGTTGGAAGTGGTCGAACAGGTCTAAGGTGAGGTCGACCTAATGTAGCATTCGCCGTCATCTTTTCTAATGCGTGATTTCCACCGTCTAATTTGATATATTGTTGCGTGCAGAATACTATTTGGTCGACCTTGACATCAACCAGGTCGACCGGATGAGACAATTCTTCGTATTTGATTTTAGGGCACAACACTTGGACTTCTGTACTTGCGAGGTAACGAAGATCAACGCAATTGTTCGACCTAATGTGTTTCAAGGTCGACCGTTTCTGTTTGTTTTGGTTATTCAACCTCAATGTCGACTTTGGCTTTGTTTGTATGACTATGTTGTGCTTGAAAAGGTCGACCGCGCCAGATATCTGGTCGACCTATCCTTTTTTCGGTTTAATATTGAACTTACTTTTTGTTGTTAATTGTTATTTTCCTGCTGGATAGGTCGACCTAGGAAGAACAGAGGTCAACCTTAATGGTTGTGGTAGTCACTATTTGTCTTCTAGGTCGACCTAATAATTTGTCAGGTCGACCACGTCTTTGTTTTTTGGTCAATTGTAGAAATTTTTAGTTGAATTATGATTTGAATTTTTCTTTAAATTGTTTAGACGATGACGCACGATGAAAGACTACATCAAGATTTGGGTGAAATCATGAAATTGTTGAAAGCCACACAAGAGATGCTGGTGGTGTGTCAAACACAAGTCAATGACTTTCAGAAGTCCATGCGTGATAGAGTGGAGCAATTGTCAGTTCGACTGACAGATATGACTGGGATGATGCATGACGGGTTTGAGAGGCTAGAAGGTGCTATCAAAGATATAAGTGCAGAACGAATGGAGAATGGCGGAAGAGATGGTACAAGAAAGAAATTTGACTTTGGTAAAGAGGAGGAAGACCATGATGACTCTGAAAATTGCTACCAGAGCATAGACGATTTATTGAAAGAGCACAATTTAAAGATATCCAAGTATGTTCATATGTGATTGAAGATATTAGTATTACTATCATTAGTGCTAATTTGTTTTGTTTATATGTTTGACAGAGTGAAACAACGAATGGCAGCAAGGGTTCCTCTCCTAAGTACAAGAGACCTCGATATGAAAGTGACTCCTACACCACTCCACAGAAGGATCATTTTGTAAGAAAAGGATTATTTAGTGCTGATAGCGATAAAGATGAATCTAAGAGTCCTTTCGAAAAGCACGGGGTAAGTTTACGTTACATATTAATCTATAATGTGTGTTTTTGTTCATATGTTACTTTAATTTTAGCTATGATTTGTAGGTCATGAAAGTGGAGGGTCTAGAAGGATTCACCAAAAATCTTCAAAATCCAGTTGAAGA